TGATGTGGGTACTTAAATGAAAGGTCTCGATGAGTGTAATGTCGGGATGAGCTTATATCTTTAAAAATGTCGTAAGTATACAAGATAGCAATGTCAGTTCTTAATTATTGACATTTTTTTAAGATATAAGCTCATCCCGGTATTAAACTCATTAAAAGCTTTTATTTGAGTACCCACATACATTTTTGATATATTTTTCATATAAACATATATATAATATATATAAATATATAAAATATATGAAAAATTGATGTGGGTACTTAAATGAAAGGTCTCGATGAGTGTAACTCCAGAATGAGCTTATATCGTTAAAAATATCATCAGTGGACAAATTACAAGGTCATTGCTTTATTACTCATATTTTTTAAGATCTAAGCTCATCCTGATGTTACACTCATAAAGAGCTTTCATTTGAGGACCCACATGCATTTTTGATATATTTTTCATATATACCTATATATAATATATATAAATATATGAAAAATTGATGTGGGTACTCAAATGAAAGGTCTCGATAAGTGTAACATCGAGATGAGCTTATATTTTCAAAAATGTCAATAGTTCACGAGATACCAGGTCATTTCTTAATTATGTCTCTAGAGATAGAGCCACGAAATTTTGCTTATTCTCTTAATAATATAGATTATCATTATTATTAATAAAAATTGATTTTTTCTAGACACCAAACAGACGAGCATCTCTAAATCCTCCTCCAGACTCAAACATATCCTGGGAAACTTATCTAGAAGTGCCGGCAGGTGAGTGTCCGCTTCTAGGCAGGAGCCATGTGTACAAAGAAAGTAGTAAAGCATTCAGAGCGACTGTTGCAATGAGCCCAGACTTTCCTCTGACTGTCGACATGCTTCTAAATGTACTTGAAGTAACAGCGCCCTTTAAACACTTCGGGAAACTCCGTCAGTTTGTGCAAATGAAGCTACCTCCCGGATTTCCAGTTAAAATAGACATACCGATTCTGCCAACAGTCACCGCTAAAATAACATTTCAAGAATTTGCATTTAGGAATGATATTAATCCAGACTTATTTCAAGTACCATCGGACTACGTCGAGGATCCTATGAGGTAATTTTTTTTCACATTTTTAGTTCAATATCATAAAATTATCTTGTTTTGCTTTTTTATACAAAAAGTTTTTATTCTCTGTTAGTTAAATATTTAAGTTAATATTAACGGAAGTTTATAGTCGAGTTTGTTTAAAAAAAATTCAATTGTATTCTCATGTTAATAATTACCATTATCTCTGAATTTAATTACACTGTTGATTGTATAATTATGTTAATTACTTTTTTTTTTTTTTTTTAACCATCTGCTGTATAAATAGTTTTATTACAATATTTATTATTTATTTGAACTTTAATTATTATACAGTGTTTTAGTAATACTTATTTTTATTAAAATAAAATTAGAATCCTGGAAAAAATTTTAAAGTAATGAAAAATTAATATTTTAGTAAAATTATTATAAAAAAATAAAAATAAAAATAATAATAATAATAATAATTATTATTATTATTTTATAATAATTTTAATAAAATAATATGAATTTTTAATCATTTTTAAATTTATTCTGGGTCTATTTTCTTTCGATTACCATAAAATAATTATAGAGTAATAAAAATCAGTGAACTAAAAAACTGTATATACTTAAATAAATAAAAATAAATTATTAAAGTATTAAAAAAAAAAAATTTCAGCTACTACGGAGCGTATATGGCAATGATGATGGTTCTACCAGCTTCTTCAGTGTGAAGATAAGACTTCTGACTAATAAAACACTAAAAAAAAAATAAAATTTAAAACTGTCCATTTTAACATTTTTTTTTGTAATTAATATTAACATGCGAATAAATACAATTTAATCGCATGCAATTTAATTGCTTGTTTTATAAAAAATACTACCATCATCATTGGCTAACAATAATCACTAACAATTTTTTTTTAAATGGTATCAGGCGTCTTGATCCTCCGACAAAATATCCCCGAGACTAAATATCACATAAAATCCATGATAAATGGGCACAACACGGTGTTACGAATATTGCACGCCTCATAGCATGAAGCGTTTGAAGTTGTGCTTTATACTCGACTCGTCAAGGTCAAACAATTTTGTGATCTTTAAATGCCTATATTACAACCATATTGCACTTACACAATAATATAAGAAGATGTACACCGAGAAAACACTTAAATTAAACCATCTTTTACTTACAAAAATCATTTCATGTTGCTATTTAAAAAAAATAAAAAAATAATTTTTCAACAAATTGATATTTCGAGACCGGGTTTTTTTTACTTGATCAAGCTAAATTTTTTTAGGCTGCGCATGTGACAAGAAAAACGGGTAGCGATATTAAAAAAAAATAAAAAATACTCTGTAAGGAATTACTTGATTACTGGTTTTTTTTTTTTTTTTTTTTTTTTTTTAATATTCAATCAATTACACAATTTATTTTTTTGTTAAAACATGAATGAGCGTTATTATATGAGGCGTGCACTTTTGGATTTTCTAAATTTTTTGTTGAAATGCCATTAATAAGTGTTGAAATAAAATTAATAATTTTTCTCATATTTATTGTTTTGAATTTTTTTATTAAAAAATTTTATTATTGAAGATATTTTGTCCAGGGATATTTATTTTGGGAATATTTTGTCGGAGGATCAAGAATCATAGAACCTTTTAAAAAACTCGTACTTAATATATTAACAAAAAATAAATTATTAATTAATACTTTTGCAGATTCCCTGACTTATGACGCTTTGATACTCTAACATTAATTGAAGTCAATTATTACACTGGCTCAGGTTTGATTTCACTTTTCGGGGAACGTTTAGCACTGGAATTCCCGCTTGGAAGCCTTGGTAGTATTTATTCCAGTCAGTGTATGCTACTAATCGAGTAATATATGTTTACTATTACATTATATTGTACTGTAATTTTTTTTTTCCACCCCGATTATCAAAGGAGTGAGTATACGTGTAACTTGTATTTTTTGTGTATGCACCTCTAAAAATTTTCGACACAAATTATTAACTATTAACCCACCCCAGCAATAATTGATATTAACATTTTTTAATCAGTATTAATTACTCGATACAATAATCGTTTACCTGAAAAACATATCACATTTGGTTGTAATTTTATAAATTCATCTGTCATTTAATTTTTATAAATTGTTGAGTAATTAATATTGTATAAAATAAATAATTTTTTTTACTTATTTATTTTGTTTTTTTTTTTTTTTAACAAAAAAATTAGCTGCTAGATTCTCAGTCACTGCCAATTGAAAGCTAATTAAGTTAATGCTTTTAATTGTACTGTTAGCAATTGTCAATATGCCTAAGTATTAGGGTTTATTGAAATTCGATTTTTTATTTTTATAATAACAAAAGTTTTTGCTTAAAAATTAAAGAAAATTCTTTTTATTAAATAAAATTTTTTTATTTTAATCTTGGATTTTTTTTTCTATAGAAAAAATTATTAATTAATTTTTTTTTTTTGTTACTTTACGGAAAGAACAAGATGACACTGGATATCATCCCAGATTATACTGAGTGATATCTGTGGTGAAAAAAAAATTTCAAATGGTATTTAAAACAATATTTGACTTCGTGAACGATTGACATTCTTAAAGATATAAGGTCATCCCGACATTACACTCATCGAGACCTTTCATTTGAGTACCCACATCAATTTTTCATATATTTTATATATTTATATATATTGTATATATGTATATATGAAAAAATATATCAAAAATGCATGTGGGTACTCAAATGAAAGCTCTTGATGCATGTCACATCGGGATGAGCTTACATCTTTAAAAATATCAATATTAAAGAAATGACCTTGTAATTTGTGAATTATTGACATTTTTTAAGATATAAGCTCACCCCGATGTTACACTCATCGAGATCTTTCATTTGAGTACCCACATCAATTTTTCATATATTTATATATATTATATATATGTATATATGAAAAATATATAAAAAATGCATGTGGGTACTCAAATAAAAGCTCTTGATGAGCGTAACAATGGGATGAGCTTATATCTTTAAAAATGTCAATAATTAAGAAATG